CGAGTGTGGTGTAATACTTGTGACCGGAAATCTTGGCGAGGATGTCCTCAATCCGTGGAAGAGGATAATGGTCTGGTATGGTGACCTCATTAAGTGGGCGAAAGTCAAGGCACACGCGTAAAGAACCATCTTTCTTCTTTACGAGGACGGTGTTGTGAACCCAAGGAGTGTCGCTTTCAATTATCCTTCCTGCCCGAAGCAACTTATTTATGTGGTCATCGAGCTCCTTCTGGAATTTCAGAGGGACGCGAGGGGGACGGCAGCGGTGTTGCGGTACGTCTGTGGTGGTCTTAATGACGATCGCACCTTCATCATAGGAGCCTAGGTCGTAGGTGCTGGTGGAGATACGGTCACGAAACTCATAAAACAGTTGTGCCAACTGTGCACGCTCTTCCTCGGAAACTTCTGCGAGCGAAAGATCAACGAAGTGCGGTTCCAAACAAGTCTGTGTGATGGGGCTGTCAGCCCTGTGTGCTACTGCTCCAACGAGCGGTACCGAGCTAAAGGGGTTAGGAGACATTGATAGGGCGTCCACACATTGCTCATATACCCGTATGGCGGAAGAGATGTGTTGTCCTTTATAGAGTACTTCCGGATGAGTGGATGGATTAGCGATGAGTACCATTGCGGATTGGGGACAAATGACAGCCGGAGTGACGAACAATGAGCGCTCGAGGAGCTTGCTGCTGGGGGTAGTCAGCATCAAAGGGGAGTCGTCGGCCGCCTCCGTTCGACAATGCACAAATGTCTCAGAAGACGGAGGGAGCACGGTAGTCACTGCTGCTCGGACTGGGACTTCCGGGGAAATGACGGGGTCTATATCGCTTGCCGAAGCGCAAAGGATCTTGACTCGCTCGTCGGCCATCGAGAACGTGCGAGTACCGTAATCGATAGTCCATGGCGGCAAGCGACGCAAGAGATCATTACCCAAAATGATGTTGTAAGAATCGGCTGCATCGGGGATGCACGCCGCGTCGGCGAAATAGACCCGGTGGTCAAAAGATAAGGAGCCGACCTCGAAATGAAGGGAAGCCATGCCAAGCAGGTGAATTGGGATTCCTGCCATTCCCACTGCACAGGAAACCTCACTCTTGGACATCTCGAAGATGCCGAAGAGAGGGGCTGTAGTCGCGGCTGTCACTGTAATGGAGGCACCCGTGTCTACGAGAGCTAGTACATGGATATTGTTAACCTTAATAGGGATCTGTGCGACAAAAAGCCGATCGGAATCGGTTAAAGCCAGTACGTTTACCGGGCTCATACGGGCGCGAGGAGGCCAGGAGTGAGTGGCGTCTATCGCCAGGCGAGGGAGCTCGATGGTGTCCGGTGCACGTAGTTTAGGGTAAATGTGCTCGTGGGCTTCAACAGATTGTGGGGTTGGCTCCGGTGGGGTAAAATTGTCCGGCGAAGCCGTCACCTCTGGCGCGCGTACAGGAAGAATAACACCTTCTTGCGGTTGGCCGAGGGACCGGGGCTTACGCAGAAAACGGCGATAGAAACAGGAAAACACGTCTTGAAACTGGGGCAACCGCCCTGGATAGTACGTATTGCAATAAAAAATGGCAATGTTGCTTAATAAATGAATAGTGACGATAGCAGAGCAGAGTGTCACCCAGATATAATAAAAGACCAGGATCCGAAAAGCCATCTCCACAAGAAAGAGAGAGGAGAGGAAGAAGATGAAGAGGAACTAGACATGCGAACGTCATTGGCTACCGCCGAGAAAAGGCGATCATGACTTACTGTTGACCACAGTTCTTGCCACTGGTGGTCCTGAACTAACTCGCTAAGGTTAGTTAAGACGAGATTATGAAAGATTGTGAGAGGTAGAGAAAACGATACGGCTCGGATGGTTTCTGGCAAACCGATATCACTTATGGCGGATGACGGAAGTCGAGTTTCATAGCCGGATAGCGGATCGTACCCAAAGTAGCCGGTGGGAGTAGCGAACATAAATTGGGTAACCGTAGAACATGGCACAGGCTGAGCATTGCGCGTGACGACCAGCGTAGCGGGATCTATAAAAGACTGCAACGAAGTGCCGCTGGGAAGGGTGAGCTCAACCATGGGCTGCGAGAAGCAGGATCCGTTGAACGGACGTAGCTTGACGTTTTGCGAGGGCACTCGCATGCAGCGATGGATGCGAACGATCTCGCTGCCCAGAAATGAAGCTGCCACGTCATCACGTCCTAGTAGGCTTCGCAAGGTAAGGGTTGGATTGGCTTTGAGAGAGGTGCGAAGGCTCAATGCCAGCAGGTTGGTCCTATCGCAAAGTGCAGAAAGGGCGTGATAAAAGAGAGCCGCTACGGTTGATCCTATTGAGCCTTCCACTGCTAGGAGTTGCGCCGCAAGCTGGTTCGAGTATACAACATCGGCGTCAGAGCTCGTGTTGCGCCTTAACCTGATTATAGGAATCAACGCATACCCTTGGTCGGAGAGGATCAAGGTCCTATGTCGCAGTCGTGCACCGGGCGCTGGAGTTGGTCCAAGATAACGCGAACTCCTGTGAGTCGCTAATCCAGATGCTGCCGAGGAGGTGGCCTGACATTCTCATCAGCGGAATGAAGCGGCACCTTTCCATGGGGCTGGGTGTCCATAAGAGAGCGGAGCCATCGCGCAATGTACAACTACCAGCGTCGTAATTACAGTGCCTGAGGCTTCCCGCGGGTGAGTCAGGTGACTGAGAGTCATGCCGCATATGGATTGTCGTCTGTATGAGGAAACAGTTCGAAACTGTGGCGAAGATGTTCCGTACAGCACCCAAAAGGAGCCGACGGCCAAGCTATATTCAGCTCATTGGAAGTGGACCAGGTATCGCCGGAAGGATGAAGCTCGCCAAAAGCACATCTGTGATGCTGTACCATGAGGTTACAAGCGTCGGAGGATACGATCTGCTGTGATTCCGAATGGTTTTCGTATCGCGCTCCAAAAAAGCTGATCGAATAAGTTACAGAACGCGTAAGTATTTTGCAGAGGAAAGCAGGCGAGTCATACCTTTGAGTATTGGGCCTATATACGTAGAGTGAGAGAGGACGCACGGTGTCACCAAAACGTGGAAGAATATGAGAACAGTTGTAAGAAGAAGGTATTCTCGCAAATGAATCAGAACGATCTCGTGGGCAGAGCCAAGCCGGGGTAGGCAAGGCGCTAGAGATACCACAAAGAGAAAAAGCTGATAAGGCCAACAATAGGCGCACTTGAGGAACGTGCGATGAAACAGATCTGGATGAAGAAGGCGGATAGCCAAAAGAAGTGTTAGCCAGCTCCTCGTTGCGCTTAATGAGGCATTGGTTCGGGCTTCAGATCGCTCAAGGGCGGACTGATTGTCGCGTAAAGTAATAGAGAGAGCACGTATCTGCTCGCGAGCTTCTGTGAGTTCGCGTGAATGATCTCGACGGGGTGCCCGTAAAGCAGGAGAAGCAGAACGAGGAGCTCTACGATCAAAAGTGCGAGGTTGCACGGAATAGGAAGGCATACCTGTACCTCTGGAGAGTGCTCTAGTAGACGGGCACTGGCGAGCAAAATGACCAAAACCGCCACAGTTAAAACAGGCTTGAGAATATTCTGCTGGAGCCATTCGTTGATAGCCATCATTCCTCGGCCGCTGAAAAGAACGATTAGAGTTAAAACGCGATGGGAGATTTCGTTGCTGAAAACGACCCTGCCCTTGGATAAAGGGGCGTTGGGACTGGGGCTGTCTAGGGTTGAAGCCGTGCGGTATAGCCGCTTTTATCTCGATAGGTCTGGCGGGCAACGAAGGGCATATAAGACGGTTGGCTGTTGCTTCCGCTAACAGCTGTTCTACCATTTGGGCTTTAGATACAGCCTGCTCAAAAGAGGTAGGATTGTCAAGCTTGACGTAATACCTGATGTCAGGTCGAAGGCGAGCGACGAACTCCTCAAGGACTCGCTCCTTTTGGCTAGAGGGGTCTTGTCCCGTAGTAGCAGCTCGAACTAAGGTGAGGAGTCGATTAGCGAAAGTCGCTGAGGATTCACCCGTCTGCTGCTGGCACGAAGAGAGAGCTTGTCGGGCCATGTACCTGTGCTGCGGACCCTCGAAATATTTCTTAAGATGGGCCACGATGGTCTCGAAGCTGTCCCGCTCTTGTTCGGAAAGCTCCTCAACTTTCTCTCTGGCCACTCCATCGAGGTATCCTATGAGAAAGTAAGCCTTCTGCTGAGAAGTCCATGTGGCGGACCTCATCCTCATGACATCCTCTAAACGGCGTAACCACATAGAAAACTGCATGGGGTCCTCACCTGACCCAATAAAAGGCGCAATCCTAGGTAAAGGCCCGTCCGGGCTAAGCGAGGCTACCAGAGGAATCCTATTGATTCGTTCACCTACAGCGGCAAACGACTGGTTAAGGTCGGATAACAAACCTGCATTACTTTCGGTAATACTGCGAGTCAACATGGAGGTAGCTTCCTGTGACTCAGTCCACACTTCATTGATGGCATGAACTGTAGCATCACGGAGAGCCTTGGCATGCTTACCTTTCACGGAAGTCTCGTCGGAGAGGTTGGACAGGACATGAACCAACTCACTAGTAGCAGGGACAACGACTGTGTCCATCTCAGGTCTGGGTGCTGGGGCAACCGCCCTTGAATCAGAAGAACCAGAATGTGAACGAGTAACAGGCTGACTCATCAACCAGAACAGAAAGGGTAAGCTTTAATGAGAACGAGCCTTGCTTATGTACGGACTGTAAGTGGGCGGAGAGGGGGCGGGGCCTACCGTACCCTAGCCAATAGGAGCATAGATCCGCTGTACAAGCGGGATTATGCTAAATGAAACACTATCTTGCCAGCAAATGCCCCAAGCGTCAATCAAAGAAATTAGGCCATTGTACCACATGTGGTGTCACTATAACAGCTAGAAAGTCTCGTTATCTACGATCGCACCGCAGATAACGGACTCGGGGTCAAAGCGAAACAATATCACATTACGCGAAGATTCAAAAATTGGTAAACTAAGAGAGAAAGAGAATAGGACCCAAACATGCCAACGGAGTTCCTATTATTATGCTAAAAACAAGTTGCAAAGAGGATTCGTTATTCTGCAAGCTATTAAAGAACAAGTAGGAATTGTATTGTTATAGCTGTCAACGGCCTCGATTAAAAGGAAAATACGGAATGGTTTGCAAATATCATTGCTCTCGAGAACCTATATGAAAGTTTAAACTACTAGGATACTGCAGGAAAGACCAATGTAGCAATTACCTAATGCTGTATTGTTGCCGCAGGCCTTAAAAGATACGGCGCGTGCTCGGCCGCAATGACTTAGCTGCCGGCTTAACGATATCCTACGCCGGCCCGACGGCGCAGGGCGGGTGATCGCCGTCTCGGATTCGATCGCCCGTGGTTCGGAGGGTTGCTGGTTCGAATCCTCCCGCCGCACACCGGGTTTGCGGGCGCCTCTACTGTAAAGGTAGAGGATGCCCGCGAACCGGTGGTGTGTCCTGCTCTATTTGGCCGCGGCCGGTGTCTTAGACACCGCCAACCACCTCCCGCCTTGTGTGGAGGTGGATGGCCCCCTCAGTTCCTGAACCAATCAATAGGGGAACTGGGGGGGAGACAATCAATGGGGCGTTTTGAAATGTCGACGAAAGATCTGTGAGATGGGCCAACCGGCCGAATGAGAGAATAGAGCAATCAATAGTCAAACCAATACACTAATGAAAGAACATGAACATGATAAACGCTTTCAAAACGCCCCATTGATTGTCTCCCCCCCCCCCCCCCCAGTTCCCCTATTGATTGGTTCAGGAACTGAGGGGGCCATCCACCTCCACACAAGGCGGGAGGTGGTTGGCGGTTTTGCTTTTCCGCAACCAATGAAACCGTACATATGGAACTCAATACTATTTAATAACCCCACACAATACTCCGTTCTCTAAATAGTGCAACTTCTTGCAGAAAACCTCTTACCTCTTTCCACTGCTTGTGCAAACTCCGTCAGTTGGAGCGAACGCAACCTTGTCGCTTGCTCCGTCCTCGGTCGTTGTCTGCGTGGCGCAGCCACGACTGTTTGGTAACTTCTCTATTTGTTCCTGCGCATGTTGCGCCTGAGAATGGGGCAGCTATTATTTCGCTCCATGTTCGCCCTGAAATGGCGGCACTATCATCGTTAACTGTCGTCTTATGGTAGCTTCACAGACAAGTCTATTGTCTTTGACGCAACCGTCGCCGGGGGAACGATTTCATGGTATGTCGTGTTTTTTTTTTTTGTAAGAGAACGGCGGGTTTTAAGCCCCCGCTTAACCAGGCATTCTACTTTCCTACCGGACAAAAGAAAGGCTACAGTGACAACTCTATAAACTCACGATTTGAAGAAAGAAGAAACGGCATCTGGGCGATGATCAAAAGAAGAGAGGGAAGAAAGGAGACGCGGACGACGTTCGCAGGCTGCAGGATTGACAGCTGTGTGCCCAGATCAAAAAGAGGATTACTGTAGTCTTTCTTTGGAGACACGTGCTGCAGTCATCTTCGCCTTTTTGATCTTCGAGGTGACATGACTAACTCGAACTGGCCAGCTTCGAGCTAGTTCGAAAGACCAAAGGAGAAGACTCTTCCTAAGTCCCAACATCAGCGAGGGGTGAACCACTCGCTGCTACCAGTAAGCGAACGCCGCGCAATGGAAGCTGCACTACTACCTGCTTTGACACCGATAAGTACTAAAGTTTATCTGGCATAGAATTACATAGGAAAAGACGAAAGAACCGAACATACTACGCACATAACGACATACATGGCACTTTACGTAGGCAAGAGTAATCCGAAGAAAGACAACTACGCGTACACGATACGTACATAAGAACAAACGGAGATCAAGCAGGCAGATCTGGTTGTTGAGGGCTTCGCCCTTAGGAAGAGAGAGATGAGGCCGCGGACCTCGGTCGTTGCTGCTGGTCGTCTCCTCGATCCAGCTGACTGTCGCTCCGCCCTGAAAAGGCATGAGTCATCGTGGAGTACGGTCGACTACACCTCACACTGCTTACAAAGACACATAGTACGCTCATACACATTGAGGGTGTATGAGACTATCAGCCCCCCAGATGTCGATGTGTCGTGGTCCCCCGCCCAAACATGCCCGGGAATGGAGATACAGGGCCGTGAAACACGCTAATTCTTCCATGCTCCGCCCACTGCCTTTTTACGGCGCAGATTCCCGCCGTTCATAACATCCGTTGCAAGCGCGCCTGTCGCGTGCGGCTCCTTGGCACTTTGCCAAGTCCTTTAATTGCGCTCTCAAATACAAGCAAGACGCAATTTCCTGATGCGAATAAAATTTAAGGTGTTGCTCATGCTTCAAAATCCATGTACAAGGAGATGAAGATGACACAGGCTAGAAATGAAGCACAACGATGTAAATGTAAACAAAACAAAAATGAAAAAATCAAGGAAAGGCAAATTAGATAAACTGGCCTGTAAATTTCTACGATCCGGCGCCAAAGCCATAGAAATACTTAGAACAAACGAGTGGGACGCTTGGGCTGTTTTTATTTTCATGTTTTGTGGGAATGCGCGGCCCTTGATGGATACTGCAGATGCAGCCGAGTTGCTCTTGAGTTCTGCCCTCGTCATCATCTTCTGTTCTTATTTTGTAGCACCTCCAATGTTATCCGCATCAGGAAATTGCGTTTTACTTGTATTTGAGAGCGCAATTAAAGGACTTGGCAAAGTGCCAAGGAGCCGCACGCGACACGCGCGCTTGCAACGGATGTTATGAACGGCGGGAATCTGCGCCGTAAAAAGGCAGTGGGCGGAGCATGGAAGAATTAGCGTGTTTCACGGCCCTGTATCTCCATTCCCGGGCATGGGCGGGGACCACGACACATCGACATCTGGGGGCTGTAGTTCTCATACATCCTCAATGTGTCATATACTATGGGTCTTTAAATGAAGGTTACATGCCATACCATCGCAGTCGCTGCTCTCGTGCCTTCAGCTGGATCGGAGCCGTCTGTGTGACCGCCCTGACGTCCTCGTTTCTGACTCTGTCGAGTCGTGTCCAGCCGCAGGCCCATCTCAGCATCCTCATTTCAGCTGAGTGGAGCTGCCTTTCATGGTTCTTGCAGATGGGCCAGCACTCACTGCCGTAGAGCATTGTAGGCCTTACCACCGCCCGGTACACCTTGCCCTTGAGCGTTCTCGAGCACCGCCGGTCGCACAGGATGCCAGTGGACTCCCTCCATTTCATCCAGGCTGCGTTGATTCGGGCCTTCACCGCCTGGTCCACGCTGCCATCAGCTGCTAGGTCGCTCCCCAGGTACTGGAAGTCCTCGACCCTTTCGATGCTCTCGCCATGGCGGTCTACGATGGGTTCGGTACACTCCTCGGAACTTGGTCTTCTTTGACGTTCAGCCGGAGTCCATTTTCAGCGAGCACATCCTGCCACCGCTGCACCTTGTCCTGGAGTTCTTCCCTGCTGTGCGGGGCGATGTCGCTAGAAAATGATTTTCACTGGGACCCTCCACGAGTAATTTTGCCGTGACCGAGTCAGGAGGAAAAGGAACTGGCTGAGGGCTGGTCCTTTGTATACTACGACTTGGAGTTCAAACCATCGATCTCGTGCGGTAACTGGCAAGAGATCAACGGCTTGAACTCCTATCTTCCATATCTTTGACTGTAGGGAAGGGGAAGGTCGCCGATACACAGGAATATCACATGCGGTCATCCAAAACCAGGTAAGGGCATGGGTCCAGGCAGATAGGTGATAGGAGTTCAAACCATTGATTCGTGCGGTAATTGGCAAGAGATCAACGGCTTGAACTCCTATCTTCCATATCTTTGACTGTAGGGAAGGGGAAGGTCGCCGATACACAGGAATATCACATGCGGTCATCCAAAACCAGGTAAGGGCACGGGTCCAGGCAGATAGGTGATAGGAGTTCAAACCATTGATTCGTGCGGTAATTGGCAAGAGATCAACGGCTGAACTATCTTCCATATCTTTGACTATAGGGAAGGGGGAGGTC